CGCAGCAAACGGCGGGGGCGCGCGGGGCGCGGGGAGCGCGTGCCCGAACGCCGCGGGAGCAGGTCCCGGCGCTTGAAGGCCCAGGAACCTGCGGGGTTTTGAGAGGAAAGGCAGAGAAAAGCCATAGAGGAGGCTACTGGTGAGGTGGAAAGGAACAGAATAGTTTGCTTAAGGCTCGGAGGTGGCATCTGACGTAGCTGGAGAAGACAGAGGAGCGACATCTGCCCACAGGTCCATGGAGCAGACAGAGGAGCAACACAGGGAGGCAGGGCTTGAGGCCAGGTTCGGAGGGCCTGGGGATCACACTCGGGAGTTAAAATTTGGGAGTATTCAGACTTTCAGGCAGATTGATAGCTAGATAGATCTTCTATATGTTTTATTTAAATTATATATAATACGTTTAATATATACAAAGAAATACATGGACCACATGTAGTTACGAAACATGATGAAAATTACCACCCGTGAATACACCATCCTGCGTTAAGAACCAGCACAGGTGCTCCTCCTACGTGTGTTCTTCCCTTGTGCCATCTTCCCGACTCCTCCCTCCCCACCCCAACCCCTCCCCGCGAACGTCACCTCTCTCCTGAGGTTTTGTCTATCAATCCGCTGCTTTTTAAAAGGTTTTGAAAAAATCTCTTCTTTGTACTCCTAGCACGTGTTTCGTTTTGCTCATTTGAAGCTTACAGAAATATCGCGCTCTACGTCATCGTCTACAATCTGCTTCTTTCCAAATTGTCTCTATAATACATGCACATTGCCCGTACGCATAGACCTGTAATTTGTTTTCCCCGCTGGAAAATATTCCATGATAGGAACAGCCTAGGATATTATGGGGTCTGCAACCCAGCAGGGAAGGGTCAGCATAATGTGGTCAACAGCAGTGTTGGGGGGGGGGAATCAAGTTTCAGGTTTTGAGCTGAGATTCTGCAATAAACCTATGATCCAGAGGGGAGGGAAGAAGTTTGGTGGGATACACAGCAAAATAACCAGAAGTGCTGTGTCGGCCTATCAAGGTTATGGGTGATGCCTGTTCTTTTCCCCATTTTACACTATTTCTGCCTAAATGGTAAAAGAGGTAAATAAAAAAGAGGGAAAAGAGGTAAATAAAAAGCAACTGGCTCTGTCCTACTGGTTCTCCCCTCCAAGTGTTTGTCTTCTCTCTCCAATTAGACTGGAAGCTCCCTGAGAGCAAGATTGATCACTGCCCCCTGTAACGACCCCAGCGCCCAGTATGAAAAATGGCTGCAGCCACTAAAGCTCACTTATGGGACACAACAGCACCGAAAGAAATTGAAACTGGTGGGGAGGGTGATAGCTCAGTGGTAGAGTGCGTGCTTAGCATGCATGAGGTCCTGGGTTCAAACCCCAGTACTAGTAAAAAAAAAAAGTATATGTCTATGTATACCTACTTGCCTTTCCCCCTCAAGAATGAAACTGTTTTCTCAAGAGAATGTTAACTTTCTTTCAGGCAACAGCACCTTCATTCCTTCAAAAACACGGATTAACCATCTGGTGTCCTGGCTCCATTCAGATTGATTTCTGTACCCCCACCTCCTCCAGAATGGTCTTGACTGGAATGAGCCAGCTTGCCAAGCTTCCAGATTATCTCCTATGTTTTTCTAGAACCTTCCCAATCATTTGGTTCAAGATGTTGGAGTCACTTTTCTTGGTTCTTTTTCCTTCGTCTCCCTTATCCAGCCAGCTGTCAGATTCTATCAGTTCTTCTCGCCTAGTAGTTCCCCTAATTATCCCGCCCTCTGTTCCACGATGATGCAGAACTGGTCCCGAGAGAATGAGGGTCCATGAGAGTCTCCAGTGACCTGAGGGAACCAGATAGAAGGAAAGGGTGGAGATGTAGACCTATGCACTAGTCCCTCCCTAGGCCCAGAGAGTGGTGCCCATACAGGAGCAGGGATTGTGAAAGAGGCTGCTGGATCACAGAATGGGGGAGAGTGGGGCACCTGAGATCTCCGACCAGGGACTATGTTTCCCAGGCTAAAACCAGTAATTGACAGGTATCGTTAAAATT